TGGGGATAGGTTATGATTAGAACCAAAGAGCCACACTGCATAGTCTCAATGCCACACCTTGCCTACTTCCTTTGGCAATTTGCCTAAACCAGCCCTGGCAGGGGAAAAGCCATCAGCAGGTGGGTGGCAGACCAGAGGGAGTGAACCGTGGCTGACCTTCCAGTTTCAGTGAGGACTTGGACTACTTCCAAGGCTCTGTCAACTGCCACAACCAACTGGCCTCACTTTGGGAAGCAACCTAGCATAGTCCATCAAAGGCATCTCTTCTGGAAGCTATGAAAGTGTTTCCACTGATGGAAACCAATTTCTGTACACATGGGCCCATGTTCAAATGCCAAGTCAGAAGGAGTCTGAATTCTCCTTGAATACCCTTTCTCATCCACTAAAGATGGAAATTGAAGTTGAAGAGATTAAGTGATTTCCCCGGAGGTCATGGTTAAGGTGATACCTCGATGTCAGGGCAGGGCCTTCTGCTGAATCACAGATCTCTCTTGTGATGGCAAAACTCTGTGATTGTCAGCTTAGACTATGGAAACAAGCTCAGGTTTGAATCCCAACACTGAAGAGTGGTGGAACTTTCGACCAGTTACAACCTTTCTATAAATCAATTTCTTCACATGTAAAATGATTGGTGTCATAGTACAGGGACATAAAAAACACTCGAGAAGCATGCTGTTAGTTGTCATTAATGGATACATGGAAAATTTGTTGTTCAGTCTCTCTGTCGTGTCCTACTCTTTGTGACCCCATGGACTGCAGCACGCCAGGCTTCCTTGTCCTTCACCATCTCCTGGAGCTTGCTCAGACTCATGTCCATTGAGTCAATGATGCCACCCAACCATCTTATCCTCTATCATCCCCTTCTCCTCCTTCCTTCAATCTTTCTCAGCATCAGGGTCTTTTCCAATGAGTTGGCTCTTCTCATCAGGTGGCCAAAGTATTGGAGCTTCAGCTTCAGCATCAGTCCTTCCAATGAATATTCAGGGTTATTTCTTTTAGGATTGACTGATTTGATCTCCATGCCATCCAATGGACTCTCAAGAGATTTCTCCAGCATAATTCGAAGGCATTAATTCTTCGATGCTCAACTTTTTTTATTGCCCAACTCTCATATCCATATACAACTACTGGAAAAACCATAACTTTGAATACATGGACCTTTGTAGGCATGGAAAAGAGCCCAAGAGAAACCAGGGCTGGTTGGTCTCATCCCCAAACTCCAGTATTATGTCTTCTTGTTCTCAAACCTCATCATTTCACAGGGTTAACTGAGACTTGTGGGGCGGGGTGGTGGCGGTTGTCCTGGCTTTGCCCCATAGCTCCAGAGCAGATGTTATTTTACATATTTTTACTAAATATTTAATACCTATAATAAGTACCTAGAGACCCACCACACAACTTAAGAAATAGAACACTACTATTACCTTTGAAGTCCTGTGTATACCTTCACTCCAATTCACTGGTACTCCACTCCCTGGTAACCATTCACCTGAATTTTGCATTTATCATTCCCTCCCTTGGTTTGACCATATATCCTAAGTAATAAATTAGTTTTACATGTCTTTAACCTTGATCCTTGGAAGAAAAGCTATGAGCAGTCTAGACAGCATATTAAAAATCAGAGACATTACTCTGCCAACAAAGGTCCATCTAGTCAAAGTTATGGTTTTTCCAGTAGTCATGTATGGATGTGAGAGCTGGACTATAAAGAAAGCTGAGTGTTGAAGAATGCTTGCTTTTGAACTGTAGTGTGATGTAATCTCTAACTCAATGGACATGAGTTTGAGCAAGCTCTGGGAGTTGGTGATGAACAGGGAAGCCTGGTGTGCTGCAGTCCAAGGAGTCGCAAAGAGTTGGACCCAACTGAGTGACTGAACTGAACCAAATTGAACCTTAATATACTCAATGGGTAAAGAACTGTCTGCAATGCAGAAGACATAGGGGATGTGGGTTCAATCTCTGGGTTGGGAAGAACCCCTGGAGTAGGAAATGACAACTCACTCAAGAATTCTTGCCTGGAAAATTCCATGTTTGGAGGAGCCTGGTGGGCTACAGCCCACGGAGTTGCAAAGAGTCAGACATGACCAAGCTCGAACACGAACAGACCTTAACATAACTGGAATCATGGTGTATGATCTTCTTTAACTTGCCTTTATTGCTCAGATTATTTTTGTTATTTATCCATGCTGATCAATTGTAGTTCACTCATTTTCACCATTGAATTACATGAATATGCCACAGTTAATTTATTCATTTTCTCATTAATGGGCAATTGAGTTGTTCCCACTGTTGCTTCATTTTCCATTAGAAAGGGTGTTTCAGTGACAATTCTTGCATACGACCTTGGCATACATGGTATACTTTGAGTGTTCTGACACAGTGCTATGTCATGACCTCATGCTGGGCATCGGTATGTATCCCATCAAATGTATTAGCTAATACCAAGCTTTTCCAAAGTGATTGTACCTAGTTATATTTTTATCGGCCATGTATAGGAGCTCCAAATTTTCTTTAAGGTTGGTACTATCCATTTTCATCTATTAATAGTAATTAATTAGTTTTCATGTTCACTGTGCTGTGTAGACCGAGACTGAGTGTTTATCATGCTTTATCGATCTCCACGTGCTATGGAAAGAAACCACATTGTGTGGTCTCATTCTGTTCACAAGTTATCAGCTTAGACTTGGTGTCTTCCATTTCCATGCTTGCATGGACCTTCATGGGAAACTGATTAGAGCTGCACAGCAGTCCTGCCAGTTTGGAACATCATGGTTATCATGCTACATACCACATGGGATAAAATGTCCAGTCTGGAAAAGCAGTCTCTCATTTTTATCATGTCAGACTAGACACAGTAAAAAGAAGAAAGACAAGTGGCTGTAAAAAGAAAAAGCAGAAGTGTAACTCTTGCTCTTGGTCTTCTTCTCTGGGGAAATAAGTTGCCAGCCCAGGTGCTGAATAGAGTTGTTGGTTGAGAGCAAAGCAGCCAATGGGGTGCACTTTACAGTAATTTAGAAGGAACAAGATGATTACCATCCCATTCAGTGGAGCTCATTTTCCCTGATCCTGATGACATTCTACGTGCCTTCACACTCCTGGTCTACTAGTTCCTTTCAGTTAAGAACTGTGAGGAGAGGAGGGATGAAGATCTAGAACTCCTTTGAGATACACTGCAAGAAAACTGAGCTGCATTTTGGGGGAAATAAACAGTTGGATGAGTCAAGCATTTATACATTTCTCATGAAAGATGATCTGCTCTCTTACTAGCCTGGCGAATTCCATATAGTTTGGCTGAGCAGAAGGGCCCCACCCTTCAATAGCCCTGAGGACTCTGCTCCTGACCATCTGGTTGAGCTAGAAATCCAGAGGCAGTACCTGAATGCGAATAATCAAGATTTACCGGGAGAAATACAGAACCTCTGTGTGGACAAAGAAGCACAGGAGGAAAGGATCCATCCACCACATCCATTTCCCATTGCCACTGCTGCCTTATCGTCCTCCTTCTCTTTTTTCCCTCTTCTGCCTCTTCCTCCCCGCCCCCAGCCCCCCACACCCCTCCCCTCCCCCCGCCTTTTCCTCCAGCTCTCTCGTTTTTTGCCTCTTCCTCCCTTCTCTCCATCTTCAGCCAGACTTTGGGTCTGTAACAGGAGAGGTAACAGGGATCGCTCTGCTTGGCCCTTTCTGTGTGTTTTTCGGGCCCAGGAGAGGACTGGTCACCTGGATACATGTGGGAAACATATGCCAACTTCGAAAAGATGAGCAGAGCATTCCTGCTGGAGACAGGGAAGAGTGTCCAGGTACAAAAGGAACGGTCTTTCTCATTTTCTTCCTCCCCAACCCTAAACTGCCTCCTGCTCTCTAAACGACAAACAAGATCGAAGGTTTTAGAAGAGGTAAAAAAAGAACTGTCAAGTCTTCCAGGAGGGAAGCGGCCCCCTTGGCATGGGCTCAGCCCATGCAGGTGTGTTTCCCCACACTGTTCCGGGGTACCCCTTACTGCTCCCATGTCTGGTCGTCACTGGGTCTGGTAAGGGGCTAAAAGTGAGCAGGGGGTGAGGGCAGGAGGGGACAAAGGCAGTGAGGAAAGGGGCACCTGCCCTTCAGGGGACTTCTGAATGGCCTGATGTCAGAACAGCCTTGTTGGAAAGTTGTTAGATTTGTTCTCAGCTGACTTTGGGGTACATCTTGATTTTGTTTGATAGCATCTGGATATCAGCACACCTCCTGACACCATCAACCTGATAAGGTGCCCACACTGTACAGTGGACGACCTCTCCCCTTTCCCAGATCTCCTGTCTCTATCCCTAACGACCATACCTAGAGAATTGTCTTCCCATTTGACATAGATCTTCAGGATAACTAAATTCTAACTCTTTAAGTAAACTGTTACCACTTGATATTTACTTAAAAATATGTGGGGGAGCAGAGTGAAGAGAAACTGCACAAAAATGCCATTTTCATAGAATGATCCTTTAAGTGGAAAAGCTTATCCACGACTTTAGGCAAATGAGCAGGAAGTCCCAAAGAGACTTTCAGATGGAAATGATTATTCTGCTTTTCCTTGAGCCCTGGAAGAGGACAGCATGACACCTGCTGAAAACAAGGGCTATATGTGTTCAGGACAACAGGAAGAGTGACCAGTCAGAAGCTTGTCCTGACCTGGTTACAAATCTGGTTATAAAAGAAAGCAGCTCAAAGGAAATTTGCATGTCCAATAGGTTTCACTATTAAAGTTTACACAATGTAGAGTAATCAGCCAAGCTGGCTGGCTACCCAGATCACATGATTATGTAGAAACATGAAACTTGACTATGTGCTCCAGCAAGTTTTACTTCTCCCTAGTACAGAGGTGTTTGCCAGCAGCCTGCACTCTCAGAAATCAAACTCAACTGACTGGGACCCTTGAGATCACAGGCTTACCATGCTACTCCCGAGGACGGCCAGGGACTGCTGAAGTGACCACTGGACAGTGATTTGTGACTCGTATAGTTACAAAAAGAATGGATAAGCTTAATAAAATAACTGTCCCCGCCAGTCAGAAGTTGAGGTAAGATTTTTGCCAACCAATACTTTTCCTTCTTCTTCTTTTTTTTTTTTTCAATGATTTTACAGCATATCAGAAATACTGAAATGCTGGGATACTTTGCTTGTTCTAAGAAAGCCGAGTGCCAATTGCTATAGGGAAGTAGACTGTGTTTTTAAAGAAATGTGTAGGAACAAGTGGGCTTATTTTAGCTGACTTTGCCAGTGGTGGATTAAAATGTAAAGCTTTGAAGAGACAATAAAAAAAGAAAAGCCAAGGGCTTAGATTCTACCAGTGGTCAGCTTGGAGACTTTAAGCACAAATTTTTCTAAAAAAAAGTTTGATTTAATCTGAATACTGAAAGTTTTCATTGTGGGTTTTTATTTAATGCTAAGGATTGTTGTAATAATTTGTATTAATTATAGTTTTACTATCTCATTTATTTTGTGGCTGTATATCACAACTGTTTGGGGGGAGATTAGATCTATTTTTCCAGTGTCTTCATGTCAGTGCAACAATTATCTATAAAAAGATTAAATAAACCACTTAGGAAGAATAAATAAACCAGAAGTGACCCAAGGGGCAAGAACCAAGAAACTCCTCTGAGCTATGAAAAAAAAAAAAAAAGACTTTCCAAATTTTTATTTTGAAGATTTTCTTTTTGTCTCACTGTAATAATATCAAGACTTTTGGACAGGGGAACTTTTAGGTGTTCGATGAGTGTTTTATATTTCAGCTACCATTTGAACTTCATTTTTTCATGGGTTGATGTGACACGTGTAGTAAGGAAGTTACCATAAATGATAAGGAGCTACAGAATTAGGGTTGTTGAGACAGAATTTAAGGGCAATTAGCCTGGGAATGGCCAAGGGACAGTCCTTGACAGTTATAATATGGGTTATATACCTGGTAGGCCCTTGGTAAATGATAGTTTGAAACGAACTGCTGGTCTAGAATCAAGAGGCAGCATGGCTGCAGTCAGTCCCTCCGAGGGCATGTTGGTAAATGCTTCTGTATGACCCGCCCTAATGGGAGACAAGAAGGTCTTGCCCTTGGTCTCACATTGCTACACCATCGTGGGAGGGGGCAGATAAAATAGCGCAAGTAGTAAGTGACTCAATGAGTGTAAGAAATGAATCGGAGTAGCCGGAGAGGTTTTAACAGAGAAGATGCATCAAGCACTAGGCTTTGTCAAAGTAAATGAACAAACCAAACCAAATAAAAATGAACATATAAATATGGAGAGCCAAGTAGTGGTGACCAGAAGGGAAGGAGCAGGGGACAGGGTAGGGGGCTGAAATGGGTAAAAGAAGTCAAGTGTATGATGATGGATGGAAACTAAATTTTTGGTGGTGAGCATGCTATGATGTATATAGAAGTAGGAAATATAAGGTTGTAAATGTGAAACTGACATAATATTATAAACCAATGTTACCTCAATAAAACAAAATAAATAAAGAGCTAGTCTTTGAGACGCATATAAGATAAAAAGAAGTTGGGAAACTGGACGCTTGGAGATGGACTTGAGTATGTCCATTTGTAGGATGATGGGAACTTCCTTCCCAACAGAGGCTGTAGAGTAGGCATGCGGGACCAGAAGCTCCTGGTGACGTTAGACTCGTAGGATGCAGCCATATCACAAAGGATTGTGAGGGCTCGGCCACAAAGAGCTGGAAAACAGTTTACACTGTTACAGGTGTCATGCCAACAGGCTTAAGGGCGGTTGTCAAGGATGCTCGGTGAGAGGGGGCGGCTAAAGTAACCCAAGCCTCTAATGCTGCAGGCCTGGACTTGGGGCAGAGCAGTGAGAAGGGAGATGGAAGGAAGGACATGACCAGGAAACTTTGAGGGTTTCTCTCAAAGGAGCAAGAAGGTTTAGAAAGTCCTTTTCAGGGATATTCCATAACCTAAGGCTGTACTAAGTTTTAGAACTTCTTCCAGGAAATCCAGATGAGATTTTAAATAGAGGAGGGCAATAGAACCTAAATTACTTTACAATTGTGCCCTTAGGGACAAAGTCCAGCTTTCTCACAGAGCCATCAACAGACAACATACAACCATAGATTAGAGGGTGGAAAACTGAAACTGTATTGTGGATAATCATATACTACATTCATCTGCTCAGGCAGAAGTAACTTTTCTTCCCCTACTTGGTGACTAAGTTGTTTTTACAGAATTGACCTGTTTTGACAAAATGTGCACTGTTGATGTAGAACTTTTCGAAGAAATTAAATTGTAAACACAATGAACCTGAAGCACCATTTAAAATCTTTTCTGTAATTAGATGGGATGGCAGGGCGTAAGTAACTTTTTTTCCCCACTAGGTGACTGAGTTGTTTTTACAGAATTGACGGTCTGATAAAATGTGCACTGTTGATGTGGAACTTTTCAAAGAAATGAAATTGTAAACACAATGAACCTGAAGCACCGTTTAAATTCTTTGCTGTAATTAGATGGGATGGCTGGGCATAGGTAAATGAATTCTTAATCCTTTTGGTTTGCATCCTCTGTCTTGACTGGTTAGCATCACTTCAGAAGATTGACAACTGTGCAATTATTTGGCATTGAATGACAGTATAAGTGAAGAGCTGAGTTCATACTCTTAGGTTTATCAACACCTAAACATACTTTGCTTAAATTATTAGCCAGAAAAAAATAGAGAGATAGTGAGTGTCCTTCTTGGGGGGAGGGAGTGTAAAAGGGATGAACTTGATCTAGGGCTGAAAAGAAATTAGAGGCAGGAGTGACCAGGAGGAAGAAAAAGCAGAATCAACCAGGAAAGTAGGGCAGGAAAGACTGGAAGGAAAGCGGAGAGTCTCAAAATGAAGGAGAAACAGAAGGTTCCATATGGACCTTCTGAGACGGGCAGCTGGGGATGAATAGTCAAGTCTGAGTTCCTACTACTGAAGAGTTAGTTGAAAAAAGCGAAGTGGCTCCATTGTACGTGACCACAGAAATGTATGAGCATAGATTCTTGATTTTTTTCTCCCCTTGAGGCACTACATGAAGTTGGTTTCTCTGTTCGTGGGAGTCCAAAAACATACAGAATCTTTTAGTTGATTCTCAGCCATGATTTTCCCTGGATTTTATAAGTTAACAATACCACCAGGAAAGCACCTCAGACCTGAGGTCTCAATCCTTCCACAGTAAATATTCCTGTTCATAAAAATATTGTTGTTTTGGGTAAACGTTTCCACATTTACAATCCTGAATCACACTGACTGTATTTCTTTCAAGTTAGTGAAAAGAGTTTGTGAAGGAATTTTTATGTTTTACATATACTTTTTTAAACTTTTTATTTTATATTGGAGTATAACCAATTAACAATGTTGTGATAGTTTCAGCTGGACAGCAAAGGGACTCAGTCATACATATACATGTATCCATTCTCCCCCGCACTCCCCTCCCATCCAGGCTGCCACAAAACATTGAGTTTGACTCATCACCTGTGCTTGTATTTTTCTTTCTAGCCCCCACAAATATATATTCACTTATTTTTACAAATGTGAAAAGTCTTTGACACAGGCATGGATAAGCCAAGTCTCCCTAATCCTTATCTTATTGGTGTAAGAATATGGTATTTTTCAGTCAAATTAACATATGTGTGACTTTAGGAGACTACTTAAACTTCCTGGTCCCCAGCTTCTTCAGCTAAAAAGATAGAGATAGTAATAGCACCAAATCTCAAAGGGCTGCTGTAAGGATTAGAGCAATCCTGGCACACAATAATTATTGAATTGAAAAATGGTGTTTTTTTAGTACCTTTATTGTTATTCTTATTAATTCTATAGGTGTGCAATTGACTTTCTGAACAGAAGAAGAGCACTTTACATGGATCCTTGATAAATTTCATGTCAGTTTCAGTTCTTCTTTTTAGCTATTTTGGCTATTTTACCTGTTGATTCTGACATCTGTGGCATTTAGCTTTGCATGGGCTGTAGACGTGACAAACACCCTTTCTCTGCCTTCATCTAAGCGGCTAATAAACTGTCAAGCATGACAGAGACCTGTCATGGGTATCTGGGTCTCACAACGACAGCTCTCACTTAGAGATCCTATTTGACAGACCCTGGGACATGACTTTTTGTCTCAGGTCTTGGAATCCTCAACTGGAGTTTTCAGTAACTTGACTCTTCCTGTTCACTTCAGAAACATTTATCTTCTTTTCACCTTTCTGTCACCAGCTTCCTCTGTGGCCCTCTCTGTTTCTGTCAATGGTGTCACCATTAACCCTAAGTCTGATTCATCCTGCCTTCTGTACTTCCACTCATCTACCACACCCTCTAGTCTTTATTTCACGATACTTCCATATACGCACTTCTCTTTCTTTTTCTACCACCCCTTCCTGGATAGGTCTTCATCACCCCTGTGTCCCCTAGCCACAACACGAGAAGTTTGGATCTGATTATTCTCAAAGTCCCTCTCAGCTCTGATGCTGTGTGGTCCTTTAGGCATGAAAACCATACTTGAAATGTTACATCTTCTGAGGCTACCATTTCATCCCGTGACCTTCAGGAACTATGTCCTAATGGAATGATCAACTTATTTGAGATAGTTTTCAAAATGCTTTCAAACACTTTTCTTACAAACTTTTTGAAAACTGTCCAACTCTGAACACTGGGGTCAGAGGATTCAACTAGACAGCATCCAGATACATCATCCAGAAGATAGCTATGATGTATTTTAGAAGGACAAAGCAACCGGTGCCCAAAAGGGAAAGGTTCCAATTGCCAACTACTAGCTGTGGGCCCTGATGATGTCACTCAACTTCTCTAAGCCTCAGTTTCCTCAACTGTCAAATAAAGCTAGAGATACCTTCCTCACAGGTGTGTTCTGAAGACATGGGCTAAAGTACCCAGAATATTTGTCATATGGTCAGTATAATGAGTAAATAAAAAGTAAATACAACAATCAGTACTTCAACCCACCCTTCACAAGTGACTGTTTGTTATGTCGCTTTCTACTCATGGTAGTAGATCCAGCCCCCTTTAAACTGGAATGGCAAGCAGAGCAGAAAGATGCCC